GGCCCCGCCACCGGGCGCACACATGTCCCTGCCCCTTGGTGCCCAGCGGGCGGAACGGCCACGCCCCCGGCGCCCGACAACCTGAAAAGGTTGGGGACCACTGTCTTAGACAAACATTAGGAAGGGACACACTACTGAGTTCTGAGAACATTTAAAAAAAATGTACAACTCTTTCAACATTTTCATACACACAATCAGATTTGATAATCTGCTTGTCTATTCTAATAGAAAGAGTATTACTTGCAACTGGAGATTCTTTGAGATATTCGATCCCTGTTTGTTTCACTGAGGCTTATGCACATGTCATATGCTCAGAAGACGAAGTTACCTTGTGCAGTAACAATGGTTCTTCAAGATGTGTGTCCCCATGGGTACTCCACTGTAGGTGTCGGGCTTGTCCCAGCACCTCAGCTTGGAGTCTTCAACAGCAGTATTCAGCTGGACCACGCATGTGCGGTCAGTGTCTTGCAGCGTTTGCGCTCTCTCTCGCACGCCCGAGTATCTGAAACAGACAATTATCAACAGAGACTCCGAAGAGGGGAGGAGGGCAGGTAGTGGAGCACCCATAGACACACATCTCGAAGAACCATTGTTACTGCACAAGATGAGTAACTTTGTCGTCTTCTTTGAATGATGTCCCTGTGGGTGCTCCACAGTAGGTGACTTTGTAGCAGTGGTCAAGAACCCTTTGACAGCGGGTCTTGGAGTCATGGTCTAATGACTGTGGAAAGCACCGTCGAGGCCACTGCTGAATCTGTGGCTCAATGATGTAGTATAGCATGATGGTTCATAAAGGTGGCATTATAAGACCACGTGGCCGATCAGCAGATGTCTGAAAGAGGAACTCCCTTGAGAAATGCTATGGACGCAGATATGGCCCTGCTGGAATGAGGCCTCAGTGTTGTCAGAAGTGGTTTGTTGTGGATAGTGTCACATCTCTCAGTGAAGGCCATTACGAGATTTGAGATGCACTGAGAGGATAGTAAATGTCCTTTAGAGCGATCCATGAGAAATACCAGAAGGCATTGGGACTGACTGAAGTCCTGAGTCCTCTAAATGTAAATAGTTAGTGCTCTGGGCATGTTGAGGGTACGCAGAAATGTCTCTTGAAGGAAGGTATGAGGCTTAGGGAAAAAATACCAGAAGAATGATGGGTTAGTTAATATAAAACTGAGAACAGATCTTAGGAATGAAAGCTGGGTGTGGCTGTAATATTACACGGTGCTTGTTAAAAACAGCGTATGGTGGTACTGCCATCAGGGCCGCCAGTTCACTGACCCTGCGGGCTGAAGTAATTACCAAAAGAAAAATAACCTTCATTGTAATCATTGGCAGAGATACTGTTGCCAATGGCTCCAAAGGTGGGTTAGTGAGGGTGTCCAGAACTAGGTCCAAGTCCCACGAAGGTGGCGGAGGCCTTTGGGGAGGGCTGAGGTTCGTTAACTCTTTAAGGAAGCACTTGGTGGTAGGGGGAGAGAAAACAGACGTGCCATCCACAGGCTGGTGGAAGGCAGTAATAGCCACCAGATGCACTTTTAGGGATACTATGGTGAACCCATGGTGGTGTAAGAATAGGATGTATTCGAGGATTTCATTGAGAAGTACCCTATACGGAGCTACCCATTTGTTAGGAAACCAGGCAACGAATCTGTGTCATTTATGCATGTAGGTTGTTTTTGTTGTGTCCCTCCTGCTGTGTATTAGGATTTGTTTGACCGGAGAGGAGCAGAGGTTCTCTGTATTGGAGAACCAGCGAGGAGCCATGCTGTCAAGTGGAGAATGTGAGGCTGTGGGTGGAATGTTCCGTGGTTCTGGGTCAGTAGTTTGGGGAGGTGGGACGCAAACAGATCTATTTGTGGGAAACCCCAGAGACTGAAAGATGTGCCAGAGAACATCTTCCCAGAGCGATCATTTGTGATCTGGTGCAAATTGTCTGCTTAATGCATCTGCTGTGGTATTGCTAGTTACACTCATAGCTTCATGTCGGGAACATTGTTGCAGATACACCAGTTCCAGATGCGAATGGCCTCTGCAACAGGAACAGGATTGGGTCCCCTGGTGGTTGATGTGGTACATTGTGGCGATATTGTCGGTGAGGATTCTGGTCATGGTACCGGAGATGTGTGTTTTGTTTTCAGGCATTGAGGACAGCCCTGAGTTCCAGGATGTTGATATGAAGGGATGCCTCCCGTGGTGTCCCTTGTCCTTGAATGGACAGATTGCTCATATGCGCGCCCCAGCCCATCAGACAGGCATCCATGGTGATCCGAACAGACAGTTGAGGCTGGTGAAATGGGACTCCTGTGAGGAGACTGTGTGGACTGGTCCACCACTGTAGGGAAGATATCACAGAAGATGTTGGAGTGATTCATTTGCAAATGTGGTGCCTTGTGGGAACATACACCGACGCCAGCCATTGTTGCAGGCACTGAAAATGCAGCCTTGCATGATGGACCAACTATGTTGTGGCTGCCATATGGCACATGAGCTGTAGGCACATGAGGACAGAGACCATAGGGCTTAAGGTAAGTATTGCAATCACATCTTGTATGGCCTGGTACCTCTGTATAGGTAAGTAGGCTCTCACCATTGTGGAGTCCAAATGTGCTCCTATAAATTCTAGGTTTTGAGTTGGCTCTAGGGTTGATTTCTGATAGTTTATGATCAAACCTACAGATTTGAATGTCTCTCTCACCATCACAACCACGTGGGAGGCTTTGGCTTTGGTTGGACCCTTCAAAAGGCAGTTGAGATAGGCCATAAGAAGAAAAATTACTGTTGGCGGAGCTGCGCAGCTACCACCGCAAACATTTTGGAGAAAACTCTGGGTGCTGAGGAGAGTAAAGGGTAGAACTCGAAATTGGAAGTGGTCTTCCCTGACCACGAAGTGAAGAAACCTTCTGTGGGCAGGGTGGATCGTCATATGAAAATATGCATCCTGAAGGTAAAGGGCTAGCACTGGAATTATAGTTGACACATCATTTTGAAACACTGCTTTTACAGGTAATGGTTGAGTTTCTGAAGATCAACTATGGGTCTCCAACTTGCGGTTTTTTCTCGGTGAGGAAGTAATTGGAATAGAAGCCTCTGCCTTTGAACTCACACAGCACCCTCTCCACTGCTCCGATGGTAAAGAGGCAGTGGACTTCTTGTTGAAAATGGTGTTCGTGAGAAGGTGAAGAGGTTGGGGTTATTGACGTGAAAAGGATGGTGTAAACTGTCAAAACGATCTCTAGAACCCAACATTCGGTAGTGATGCTGGACCAATGTTGATAAAAAGGTTTGAGCAAGTGATGGAAAATGGCAACTACAGGATTGGGTTGGCGTGTGGTGCAGGGGTTTGCGAGCCCTTGATCAGGGTGTCAAACGTTCTACTTAGAAGGCTGAGTAGAGGGGGAGAGGGTTGTTTTGGGCACACCCCTTTTGGGGTCTTTGTCTAATTCACTGGTGGTATCTTGGCTGCGAGAAGTCATAACGTCTTGGGAAGGGCATGTATTTCTTGCGGGGGAATGGGTCCATGTACATCCTCAGGGTTTGGAGAGTGGTCCTTGAGTCCTTGCTTGAGTGGAGGACCTCATCTGTTTTTTCAGCAAACAACTTTTGTTTGTCGAATGGGAGATCCTCCACGTTAGTCTGACGCTCCCGTGGAACTCCAGCATTCTGAAGCCAGGACCACCTCCTCATAACTATAGTGGTGGCTGTGGAATGAGCTGCTGCGTCCACCACATGCAATGAAATTTGCAGCCCAATTCTGGCAGAGGCGTATCCCTCCTGGACGATGGATTTTAAAATGGGCCTTTTTGCACTGGGCAAATGTTCCATCAGTACCGTGATTTTAGTATAGTTGTCGAAGTCACAATTCAACAGCAGTGCTGCATAGTTGCAAATGCATAACAAAAGTGTCGAAGAAGAATACACCTTCCTGCCAAAAAGGTCCACACACTTACTATCTTTCTCCACTGCAACATTCTTATACTGTGGAGTTTTTGCCCTCCGCTGGGCTGCATCTATGACCAGAGAATTCAGTTGCAGGTCTGAGAATAAAAACGCTGAACCCTTAGAACAAAATATTTTTT